TTGTTTTGAGTTTTATATATTTTCCTATAAAATAGGTACAGTACATCAAATATTCCTCAGGAGCAAAGTTTCTCGGCTTAGAAGTATAAAGAACAGTTTGAAATTTGTTAAAGCCCTGTCGGTGTGAATGACACCAACGACCTTCATATGTCTCATCCCAGAAACGGGAAAGTTTATTGGATAAGCTTCATCCAATGAGAAAGCAGAATACAAACATGCAAGTATATTCTCGACCAATCAGAAGGCATGGACGGGAGTGATGAGCAAGTGGGTGTAGCTTATTGTAAAAACTGTATAACAGTATGTCTTAGCTAAGTTGAGGACGGAAAGTGTCTGTCTTTTGGGCCACTAAACCCATATTTGGGACCTTGAAGCCTTCTTTTGGTTTATTTTGTACATGGAAGATGAGCAAATTGAAGTTAAGTGATATCACAACCAGCTATGACATCACAGTCCTCATGCAGGACAATAGATTCAGGGAGTCCTACAAAGGATCCAAACGTCTTAGAAAATATAAATGACTGGGTGGAAACTACAGTGAAGGAGAAGACATTTCAAGAAACTTAAAAATACAAAGTGGAAATCATGTACAAGCATGCAGAGGTTGGCGATATAGTTGACATGTTAATCTCCAAACGACGAGGACTGACAGTTAGTTAATGGAAGTTTGCGAAAAGTCGCGGCGAACACCAAAATCTGGGCTGCCGTCCCCATCCGCGTCGTCATACACAACGTCGAAGAGGGGGTTGTTCTTGTAATAGTCAGCGCTGTAAAGAAAACGGGGATGACATGCTTCAAGTATGGCTAGTAAGAACCTGAATTGGTATTAAGGAAAGATGAAGTAAGGGAACATGCTACAATATGTAAAATACAAAAAAATAACACAAGAAAAGGAAATACAGTGATAGAAGAACGCCAGGTGGTAACGACGAACGAAGGAATGCTGAAAGAAAATGGTGTTAGAGATGGAAAATTTTGTTATCGAAAACGGGAAGATGGCCGTCATGCTAAAAGGACAGGAGAGACTGAAAAAAAATCTCGAAAAGAAATATAAAAATACCACATGCTTCAAATACGTCACGGAAGTAGATGTCATGCTTTGGAGACAGGACAGTGAAGTATCTTTAGTTATTTCTGTTATCCCATACTTTGCTGTTATTGTAGAGCCTGAAAAATGAAGTGACATGCGCTACTCATGCGTCTGACGAACGGACCAGTGAAGGACGAGAACCCAAGGAAGTTAACATGAATCAGCCGAGATACTTCATCAAGAAAATCAGATTTTCCATTTGAGTAATCACACACAATTGAAAATAATCTTCAAAAGAAACTTAACGCACATTCAAAATATACATTACGAAAGCTTGAGGCCTCTTTTGGGCTTACTAGCTACAGCAATATCAAATACTAGCGTTGTAGTATCGCATAAGGTATTGTCAACACACAGATGAATTTTACAATGATATCGAAGCCGAAACGTATATACAAGCAAGATTAATACAATGTAAAATTCCGAAACATTTTAGAATACATTAAAGACAAATGCAACGGAACACGCCAGCTAAGATATCATTCGACAAGAAAAACGAAATCCCTCCTTAAGAAAAAAAAGTAAAAAAAAAAAGTAAAAAAGAAAAAAAAAAGTTAAAAATAATAATAAAAAAAAATCAGAGGGAACCCCCATCCTCTACAAGAAAAGAAGAAAAATGAATAAAAAAAAAATGAGAGAAAGCTGCATCGAAAGAGGAGAAGAAATGCACTGTCCAGAGGCGTGTGTTTGTTTGTTTTTCTTTACGCTACAACATCTTCGTTTCCGTCTACGGGGTTGATGGGGTTTCCGGCGTCATCGTAATAGTCGACAAAGGCTGGGTGGTCCCTGTACCATCCGATGCTGCAAGATAATGCTGGGTATTAATGTCTTTTTCGGGTAGTCTTTGTCCGCACTTGACTTCACTGTAGCTGTGTGTCTGTCTCTATCTAAATCCATGTGTCTCTATATCTCTATCTAAATCCTGTGTGTCTATTTGTATCTCTATCTAAATCTAAATCCATGTGTCTTTATATCTCTTATCTATCTAAATCCTGTGTCTATCTGTATCTATATCTATATTTAAATTTGTCTTTATATCTATATCTATCTAAATCCTGTGTCTCTATCTGTATCTCTATCTAAATCTAAATCCATGTGTCTTTATATCTCTATCAATCTAAATCCCGTGTGTCTATCTGTATCTATATCTATATTTGAATCTACGTCTTTGTATCTATATCTATCTATATAAATCCTGTGTCTATCTGTATCTATCTAAATCTAAATCCATGTGTCTTTTATCTCTATCTAAATCCTGTGTGTCTACCTGTATCTATATCTAAATCCACATTTCTATCTACATCAGTCTATGTGTCTTTATATCAATTTATCTATCTCTTTATCTTTTTTAGCTATCTATCTATCTGCATGCAAACACACGTATGCTTTTGCACATATAGAATTACAGTGCATTGTGTGTCTGTATTTGGATGTTTGAATGTTTTTATCTGGCTTTTAATCTCATCCTTATTGGCTATCCGAACACATGCGAGACTGTATGTTATCGTATATGAAATGGGCGCTTACAAGTGTGTGTGTGTGTGTGTGTGTGTGTGTGTGTGTGTGTGTGTGTGTGTGTGTGTGTGTGTGTGTGTGTGTGTGTGTGTGTGTGTGTGTGTGTGTGTGTGTGTGTGTGTGTGTGTGTGTGTGTTTAAATGCGCGTGTGTGTGGCACAAATCTGCAAAAACGAACTTCAGAACGCGATTTAAATCCCTCGCAAGATGTAGACTTAAGAATGTCATAAAAGGAAAGAAAAAGAGAAAAAAAGGAATAATAATTTCATTGCTTCTCTAAGTTTGCTCGGAAGTTTATACCATTAGTTTAATTTCAAGCTTGAATTTCTAATCACATCAATAATTACATTTTTGTGATTCCTCAAACGCAGGAGTGTGAGGACGAAGACATGGACAGTGAGAAAAGACTGGATACCAGATAGATAAGTAGATAGATAGGTAAATAGATGAATACGGGATGGGTGAGAGAGAGAGAGAGAGAGAGAGAGAGAGAGAGAGAGAGAGAGAGAGAGAGAGAGAGAGAGAGAGAGAGAGAGAGAGTTGTTGGTTAAAAGCCAGCTAATATAAGGGCAAAGAATTATTTAATCTGCAAAGAATTGAGTAATCTTGTTATATCCACAGTGAAGAAAAGAATCCAAAAGTAAAAGTGAATAACAGTGAAAATGTTATTGTGCAAAATGAAAAAAAAAAATCTTAAGGAGTGATGTGATGCCCAGACAACAGGAAAGTATTCATTACCAGCCTTTGTTAATTTTTTTTTTTTTTTTTTTTTTTTTTTTTTAGAAATTGTAACTTACATGCAAGGAAAATAGGAAAATAATAAGAATATGAAAATATCATGTTGCGAAAATAATTATATATGAATAATCAAGTGAATGGTGATGATAAGAATATGCTTTTGAATATTAACAGTAATTGATATTTTTCCAATTTAGTGATTTTGTGCGCATATAAGTGTGTGTGTGTGTGTGTGTGTGTGTGTGTGTGTGTGTGTGTGTGTGTGTGTGTGTGTGTGTGTGTGTGTGTGTGTGTGTGTGTGTGTGTGTGTGTGCGCGCGTTTGTTCGTGTAGGTGTGTGTGTGTTTTGTGTAGGTGTGTGTGTGTGTGTGCGTGTGTATGTTTTGTGTTGGTGTGTGTGTGTGTTTGTTCTTGTAGGTGTGTGTGTGTGTTTGTTCGTGTAGGTGTGTGTGTGTGTTTGTTCGTGCAGGTCCGTGTGCGTATGTGTGTGTTTTTTGTGTTCGCGTGTTTGTTTGTGTGAATGCGTGCGTGTATGTGTGGCACAAATCTGCAAAAAATGAACTTTAAAACTCGACTTAAATCCCTCGCAGCACGCTGTCTGCGCCCACGCCCGCCCGTGCCCAGGCTGGCCACCACTCACCAGGCGTCCACATTCTCGGGGTAATCGCACATCATAGTGACGTCGTTGAAGACCTGGCCGAGGCTGCAGGAGGCCTCCTGGGGGGTGACGCCGTTGTGGCACACGTAGAACTTCTGGCAGTCCGCCAGGTTGGCAAAGGCGGGGTGGGGCACAAGGCGGCCCTCGAAGTCGGTGAAGTCCTTGGCACCTTCGCAGCAGAAGTCGTCGATGCATTCTGTGGGCAAGGGGCGTGGCTTAGTGACCGAGTGGCGCTGGGAATGTCTTCTGCAGGGCGGGAGGTGTGTCCCTGAGACCGAGTGACTTGGAGGGAATCATGTGAGAGGTTTGAGACAGTAACCCATTGTCTGTGAGAGGGTCTTCTGAGGGGAGACTTAGACGCGTGACTGACTGTCCTCGAGGGTGTCATTTGTTATCAACCAGGGGGCTCTGAGAGTCCTAGCAGTCGGGCCTAGAAACTTGGAGGGTGAGAGGCTTGGGTTAGTGATCCAGGAGCTTTGAGGGCGCCTTCTGCGGGTGGGAATGTGGGCGGGGAAGACAAGTTATTGTGGTACATTTAGCCTGTTTGGGAAATGACTTGATAATAAAAATTTAAGGAACAACAAAGTGAAGCCTAAAGGTATCTGAAAGAAAAAATCTATAGGAAAATTAAGAAATGGAGCATTAAGCGATTTGGCAAAAGTAGTTGAGAAATCCAACAATATTTAGAAACATGAGAAAAACATATCTGAATATATTCTAAAGGATTTGATAAAATTAATTGCAGTAAAATGAAGGAAAAACATAAACAAAACGTTTAAGTAAGAATTCGTGTATCGAAAAGGTAAAATATTGATAGAAGGTAAGTTCTAATCTAGGTTTATGATTCTAGGTCTTCGATCTGGACACCTTAGCTATAAAAGGGTTTGATTCCCAACTCTAAATAATGTTGCAGCTTCATAAATGTGCAGTGAGTGCAACGTCATAGACTTCAAAGATAATACTTTTGTGCCTTTTACTTGAAATAGAGGAAGACAGTAACACTGTACCAATGTAAATTTTGGACAATAGACAATTATTCAAAAAATCAAAGTAAATATATATTAGTGGATTTTATCTTGCCTACGATTTATGCAGAATGGTTTAATCATCTAAGGATTTTAAGTATAATCAGGATATTTTCCCTGCGGTTAAGGATACAATGGGACATTTTTTAAATTTCCATTACTTTGAATCAATAACTGTAATAACTATAAATAAGAGAGATTTTCTATTCTTCATATTGCCAAAGTGTTATGTAGTTACGTTTGTATGCAAGTAGATATTAAGATATTACACAGTACCCAGCCTTACATGCTTCAGTCATGACGTTCCTTCTGGCCTTCTACATATTGTACTATTTGGGAACTCCTGCACCAACCCTGGCTGAACCCTAGTATAAGAACCCTTGGTCTGGCGAACCCGTCTTTGAACCCCTGCTCGTCCCCTCCTGAACACTAGTGTGAGAATCCGTGGGCGAACAACAATTAATGAATCCTAGTTTACGAGCTCCTGTCTTAACCACCGTAGAACCCCTCGATTTTCAATCCCTGTCCTAACCTCATAAGAACCCCTGGGTGAAACCTGCCAAAATCTCTCGTGGACCCCAGTGTGAGAACCCCTGCCTGAGCCCTTGGTGTGAGAACCCTTGCCCTAACCCCTTTTGAAACACAGGGTGAAATTCATGTCCTAATGTTTCGTGAACCTAGTGTGAGAACCCTTGTTCTAACCCCTCAAAACCCTGGTATGAGCCCGCCCACACACACACCATTCAAGAACATTAATGTGAGTGTAGCCGACCACCGCAACCTGCAGCGCGGCATACTTCCCCCAGGTTGGGTCCAGGTCCACAGCCTGTCCTCTCGCCCTCACCATCAGCAGCTTCTCGACGACACATACCGAGACATGATTGGTTGACCACGGACACCTCACGGCTCGCCCATTGGACCGCGGGCTCCCCTCGTTCCCGGGTAGCTGGCACAGCTCAGGCCCACTTAAGCTCCCGCACCCGGGCCGAGTTCAGCACTCACGATCCTCCAGCCGAGCAAGACACAGCAAGCAGCAACAAGGCCTACCCAGGCCTTAGCCGACGGGTGAGCCGCTCCGGCTCTCCCCGGCGATCTCCAGCACACCAGCCATACCTGTGGGCACTCACACCCACACACAAAAGCTCCTTAAAGAGATGATTGACACCAGTCCATGGCGGATACTAATCCATTGCCATATAAGAACCCCTATCCGATTCCTTAGTGTGAGAATCTTTGCTCTAACCCCTCATGAACCCACGGTGAAAACGCTTCGCTAATTCACTAGGGTTACCCTTAGTAACCCCAGGCTGACCTCTCAGCGTGAGAACCCCCGCTCTAGCCCTTATGAACCCCATGTTGAAAACTCCGGCCCTAACCCTTGGGCAACCCAGTGTGGAAACCCTTTCCCTAATACTTCTCAGCCGTTGCGAGAACCCACCTTGCCCTGCCCCTGTGTCCCCAGCTCTAAGGACTTACTCTTCTCCTCCGCGCAATTAGTCCTTGCAGCTGCGGCAGGCCAAGCGCAGGTGCCCGTCTTCCTGTCGAAGTGCAGGCCGGCGGAGCATTCGGTGGCGGTGTGCTGGCCGTCGATGCAGGTGTAGTACTTGCCGCAGAACTGGTTGTCGGCGAAGATACCGTGGAGGCGGGGGCAGTAGACGCTGGAGTTGCTTGCGGGTTCTGTGGAGAGACGAAGGAGTCTGTGCCCTCCCCGTCCCCGCCATTTTCCTGCGGTCTTGGGAGGGAGAGTCAGGGTTCTGTGGAGAGACCGCCGACATCGAACGGGGTTTCTTATCTGTGGATTGAGGGAATCGAACTGGGAGGGAGAGTTAGGGTTCTGTTGAGGGGAACCTGTTTCGAGAGTTTCGAACTGGGAGGGAGAGTTAGGGTTCTGTGGAGAGACGAAGGGGTGAGGGAATCGAACTGGGAGGGAGAGTTAGGGTTCTGTGGAGAGACGAAGGGGTGAGGGAATCGAACGGTTCTTAGGGTTCTGTGGAGAGACACTCCTCGAGAGTCAGGGTTCTGTGGAGAGACGATGAGGGAATCGAACTGGGAGGGAGAGTTATCGAACTGGGAGGGAGAGAGAGGACGAAGGGGTGAGGGAATCGAACTGGGAGGGAGAGGGTTCTGTGGAGAGACGAAGGGGTGAGGGAATCGAACTGAAGGGTTCTGTGGAGAGACGAAGGGGTGAGGAATCGAACAGTTAGGGTTCTGTGGAGAGACGAAGGGGTGAGGGAATCGAACTGGGAGGGAGAGAGGTTCGACGAAGGGGTGAGGGAATCGAACTGGGAGGGAGAGTTAGGGTTCTGTGGAGAGACGAAGGGGTGAGGGAATCGAACTAGAGACGGAGGGAATCGAACTGGGAGGGAGAGTGAATCAAGGGCTCAGTAAGTAAATACTTGTTTAGAGCTTGGAGTAAGTAGGCCTAACGACGTGGATGAGGTTAGAGTGTAGAGAGATCGTTTTGATAAGGAGGGGGGTTGGCTACATCTCACTGCTTACCTTATATATTTTTCTATCATGCTTTACTTCCTCTGATAGTACGGAATAGTTATTGCTCTGGTTACCATCGCTATCAACTATTATTGTTGACATCGCATTGATCTGTATTTTAATAATTGAAATTATTTTTGCCGTTATTGCCGTAATTGGTATTTGAGAGACTCTTGATTCTACTCCAATAGAGAAAACGACGCTTCCCTGGAGAGGGAACTATGCCAGTTTCTCGTCAACTCGTGCGTAAAGTAGTCACGCAAAATCCACGTTTTCACTTTAGACAGACATTCCACACATGAAACCGTGGCCTGTCAGAGATTTCCAATAATAATAATAACCATGAACCACCGTTCTTTCATCGTAGTACAAACTAAACTTCCAAAAAAGAGAAAAAACATAAATATATCCTATCTAACAAACACAACGAACTAGACTTCACTCACGCATCAATGAACGCTCTCCACAGTCAACAACGTAAGGGATATCGCAAGGGTCGACGTGGCCAGCCTTGCCCTTGAACTCATCGAAGACTTTTCCGTCCTCGCACAGGAGGGGCGTGGGGACACCATCGCTGCACTCGTAGTACTTGTCGCACTGAATGGGGTCCGCGAAGTAGCCATAGGGCTCGGGGCAAAGGGACTGCGTGCCGGAGAAGCTGTTCAGCTGGTCTCTCTGGGGAATTCCTGGAATAGAAGGCGAATGTTTGTTTACTCTTGTAGGAAAGGTAGAATTATTATTGTGTGATTTTTGTTTTTGTGGGAAATTTAAGAGTTATTATCATGTGTTTTTTATTGGTATTATTATTGTTCTTATATGTTTTGGTTTTACATAGTGTATCTCTTGTGTAGGAAAGGTAGAATTTTTATTGCGTGATTTTTGTTTTGGTTATTTCCTTAGTAGAAATTTGATTGGTATTAATGTTGTTCTTGTTATATGTTTTGGTTTTATATAGTGTAATGCATTTCAAGATAAAGGCAATATATCTAACTAAAATAGTTTTTTACTACGAAAATAAGGGCACTGCAGATGGAAACAACGGAAAGAGCTATTCTGTATTTTCAAAAAATCCAAAATCCTGCCAGAAAAAAAAACAAGAGGTCAGTGATCACGTAAGAGAAAGAAAGAAAAAAAGAAAACCCCCAAAAAGAAAAAAGAAAGACAAGAGTCATCATACTTCAAGATCGGCTCCGCATGCCTGCACTCGCCAGTGATTTAATCCGTTCCGAAGTTGAAGCCGAAGTCAAGTGTATTCGAACGAAGCGAAGAAAATGGGTCAGCAATCCAGAGTTATTTTCCCCGTGATATACTTTTCATTTTCATTTATTTTTTACAGCATGTTAACAGAATACTTCATGATTTTCCGTGTTTTCATGACTGTTATCTAACAACGAGAGAGAGAGAGAATAAATGACTGGAAAGTTAATTTGCCAAACTATCTACATACTTTGCAAAAATGCAGGAAAATACGTACGAAAATGCATCATCCGAACTGGCTAACCTTAACGAATCGGAAAGGCAATTATTCAAACTAAATTTACATATCTAACTGGTAGCAGGAAATTGCTCACCTTATATAGTATACGTTCCAAATAATACGCTTAAAGTTATTTTGAGCAATCAACTGAGAGAGAAATGGAAGAGAGAGAGAGAGAGAGAGTGGGGGAGGGAGAGAAAGAGAGGAGAGGGAGAGAGAGAGAGAGAGAGAGAGAGGGGAGTGGAGAGGGAGAGAAAGAGGGAGAGAGAGAGAGAGAGAGAAGGGAGGGGAGAAGGGGAGTATAGATTGATAGAGAGAAGGGGGGGGGTAGGGAGATAGTTAGAGAGAGAGGTGGGGGAAAGGGAGAGAGAGAGAGAGAGAGAGAGAGAGAGAGAGAGAGACAGACAGACAGACAGACAGAGAGACAGAGAGAGAGAGAGACTTAAAGAAGGAGAGAGACGGAGAAAGAGAGAGAGAGAGAGGTGGCAGAAAAGCCCAACCAACCGGCTTCTAGGACAGGGTTTAATGTCCTCTTGCCCTCTCCCCCTCTCTCCCTCCCTCCCTTCCTGCCTCCCTCCCTCCTTCTCTCCTTCAATCCCTCCTTCTTCTGCCTCCTTTCCCTAATCTCCCTACCTCTCTTTTTTCTCTCTCCACGTTTCCCTTCTATCCTCTTGCACATTTTCTTTCCTCTTCCCCTTTCTTCTGTCTTCCCCTCCTCCTTCCTTTCCCCTTTGTCTCTCTTTTCATTCTCCTTTTTTCTCTATTCTTCTCTTCCCTCCTTCTCCCTTCCTCTCTGCCTTCGTCTCTTCCTTCCTTTTCCCTTTTAACCTTCCTTTATTCCTTCTCTATCTCCTTCCCTTTTTTGCTGTCTTCCACTATTTATTCCTTCCTTCAAAACTTCCATGTACTTATTTTTAACATATTCGGTTTTCCTTTTTTTAAATATATATTTTTTCGATTCCCACTCCTTCCAAAAAAAAAGAAGAAGACGAAATACGACTGATTTGCA